GTTTCTCGGCTATGGTCCCATTTATCGTACCATCTGCCTTTAAGATCATTCATAGTGAGTGACATCACCTGAGAGGTATTCCATCAGAAAGCAACACGGTTGTGAGATCAGGCAAACTCCGTAGAACCTAACGAGACATGGATGATGCAGATCGCGAAGCATTCGACACTGTCGCATTAGCTCGTTTTTGGTCACCTTCGCCTCAACTGATCGCCCCACCACCTGAAAATACTCTCGACAGAATGTGGAAGATCTACAAGAGCTATGGATTCTATAGTTCATTCCGTGCTACCGTGAACCGAGCGTCACCACTATGCCTTCTCACTCTCTCCCTTCTAAAGTATGACCCCACCTTCACATGTTTGAATTAGGCGCTCGCAAGATACGGGGAGTATAGCGACAATGCGTTTGAACCACCGTAAATGTCCTTTTTTCAGAAAATGGGACTAAGATTTGGGCAGGGATGCGAATCCAGAATCGTAAGCACTTTTCATTTTCCCCAAGTTCCATTTCCCTCTCTCTGGCGAAGTCCTAGAGGATGCCCCGTACCTTATGATAGGGCCTTAAATCATTCACAAACAGGCTGATCTCTTAGCCCTTGTCCCGGCACAAATAACTTACCGTGGTCACCGACGCCTCGATTTTTTGATCTTCTTTCTGTATCAAGCCCTTTCTCACTTCGATACAGCCCGCTTTGCCAATTGATTCACCAAGAAGGAAGCCATCGGTACGAAATTCCCATGACGCCAGGTTGACTGGTCGTTTAATTCGGATTTTTAACTGAAACTTATTTGTTGAACAACTTCGAGAATTGTGAACACAAAATGCAATCCAGCACTTTTCATAAAAGCAGAAATAGAGAAGCAACTAGTAAAACAAATACCCTTTCTAGAAGCTCAAATAGGTCATCGAACTACGTCAAAACCAGGGCCGAAAAGCTCCAACTGGAGAAGGGGCGGCGTTTTGGGAGTGAATCTCAGGACGATAGTAAAGTGCCCTAAACGGCCAGTTTATAGGTGGCCACAAAGTCATGTTGACTTCGCTTTAGCCAGTTCCTGAAAAGCGTTAAGAAACAAGGGAAGCTCACCTAGATCTCAGATAGAGGACGAAATCTAGGCCACACTCCTAAATGGTCAGTCAATAAGGTGGCCAAAGTCATAGGGCGGCGAACCCTCCAGAGAAAGGGGTGAGACAATGGGGCTACAAGACGGGCGCGCTGATGGCCACCAAAACGTCCTCCCATTTTAGTAGCCGTCAGTGCGACCCTTTGCGTCTCTGTCGGTTAACGGCCGATGATCACCTCCTTTGACTCCCAGTCTATGGCAGTTTATATGGTCCCAGACGTTTCATGCTATTATCCCCTTCGAATAATTGATCTTAACCTCCTAGATAAATGTGTGCATTTCACCCTCTAAGGATGTGCTTCTCCATACTGTAATGAAAAATGGATATAGGTTTTTTTGTATGTGAAACAATGACCGTTCCAAATCTGTCGGATTGCACTGTGGATTCGTCCACAGTCAGGCAAGCCGCAGCCCTCCCGATAGTCGCGGTCAGTACGTACTCCCGAGACATTCGGTACTGAAATTTCCCGGTATCCAGAGAATTACGGTACTGAAATTCCTTCGTAGTTGAACATCATGGGCCCATGTAGCCCATATGGGGGCTGCAGTCCGTCCACCGCGTATGACCGACCTTTCACAGGGAAACAAATATTGAACTTTTGTTTGTTTTTTATTTCATTTCATCTGACAAGGTTTCTCCTTCATCATGTAATAGGTTTTCTTCCCTATTTGCTTGATAAGATTTCTTAAAATTTTACTGAAGTCCCATGCGGTCGCAAAACGTAAATAACTATGGGGGTTATTAGGCTTCATTCGGGGTCCCCCCAAATGACGGCCTACATAACCGCCCTTAGATTTCATTTTACGTTTTGATCCCTCCTAAGCTTGTCTCGAAACTCACTGATCTTATTAAAATAACGTGTTCCATAAAATATTCAACTAGATCGTTAACACAGTATTGAATGCATTTTCAGAATTATCCACATAATATCTTATCCTCTTATCCTTTCGAGATTGTATTACTAAATGAACAACCTGAAAAGGACTTTTGATTATTAGCTGTTACCGTAATTTTTGTTGTTCAAATGGATGAAAGAGTCTCGAACAATGAATAAGGTAATCTATTCATACGCATAAGCTCACACTGTCAGTCACTCAACAGCCTCGCCCGATCCTCGGTTTTAGCATTGTCCACGAGGTCGTGCAAATGTGGATTGCAACGCCATCGTTTCGTCGCTGTGCCATCGGTGGCTGGCTGAAATGTCAGTGGCGTGATGTCAAATCCTGCTAATGATGGGAGGTTTTCAGGAATGGAGAGCACGTTCTCAAAATGGTTTTCTGCATTGTTGTAGAGGCTTCACGCAACATAACATGATGCTTCTTCCTAGAACACCTCCAGGAAATGTCGGACAACAAGGTGGTGAAGAAATGGTCCAGAGTTCGACTTCCCGTTGAGGGACTAAGTTTTGCCAATACAGTTTATTTAATAGCATGCCGCCAAATGGGGCGTCGGATAGTAAGATTGTCATTGTCGCGACTTGGCGTCAATTTGGAGGCACCACATGGAATTTGCAAAAATTTTGCATCACAGAGGGTCGAACCTTGGACCATTTCTTCCCCACAGTCTTGAGATGCCTGGAAGCGTTCAGGAAAGGCGTTCAGAAAATGGACCATGGTTCTGTGTTCCTCGTATGAGCCTCTACAATATGGAGAAATCATCTTGAAAAACGCTACATGCCTTGAAAGACCCTCTTTGTTAGACTTCTCCGCAGCGCAAAGCAAGAGGGCTCGTACTTCCCGTGTATTTCAGTGTTTTCTTTCTTTTTTCTCCACAGGCAGTCCTCCTCCCATCAGTCAATTACGAAATTATTGATCGATCAATCAATACTCTCGTAAAACTGACTGATTGGAATTACCACATCAATTCAATCTCCTGATTCTTGCCTCTAAGAGTAGGGCTGCCCAATTTCAAATGGCTCAAACATTTTTGTGTGGATCGTCCGTTTTCAGATAAGTTTCATTTTGCCTGCGCTCGATGGACAAATCGCAGTCTCACACGCTTTTCCAAATACTATTATGGAGGGAAAGTCGCGCTTGAGGAAGAGATGGCCTTTAGAAAATGTGTCCGCACCAAAAGGAAGGCCTTTCTAACTGTCGGTTGAAAGAAGCTGGTGAGAGGACCAAAGAGTAAAGAACCTTGAGCGTTCGTGTACTTGGGGGAAGGGGAGCGGGTAAGCATCGCTATGGGGACTAAGCCTAGGACGAGAGGATGAACTTCAGGGGAAAATGAAACTGCTCGCACACCCTCTCAACAAGTCCCGGTAAGGCTCGTCCTCTAGGGACTAAAGAGGGTTAGGTTGCGTTAGTGTCCGCATTTAATGGAGAGTTTATAGTTGGCGATTTTAGGCGATTAGTGAGAAGGCGATAAGGAAAGGATACGTATTGACTGCTGCACCGCCCATTGAGCGATCGCCTGCTCGCCTACTCGCCTGTTCGCCTACTCGCCTGTTCGCCTACTCGCTCTGCTTGGCCTACTCGCCTGCTCGCCTACTCGCCTACTCGCCTACTCGCCTACTCGCCTACTCGCCTAGTCTCCTAATCTATATGTATATTTTTCATTCTAGACGAATCGCCTGATCGCCTAATTGCCTAGTCGCACGCCCGATCGCTAACTATGTACGCTCCATAAGACCTATGCCAGACTTTGCAAATCGATTCGCTAGCGTCTGCGGTCGCGTCGCGGCCAGTGAATCGCCCATTTAGGCTAGTACCGCAACGCGACCGTGACGCTAGCGAATCGTTAGTAGTCGATTCGCAAAGTCTGACATCGGCCTAAGGATGGTCAATGAGGCGATTGTGTTATCACATTTCAATCCACCGCTCGAGTGTTTGCTCTTCGAAGAATTTATCGATTTTACACGCTTGACTAATCGATACCCATTTTCACGTGCTCGAGCCGAGGAGGCGGTTTTCAGTGTAGAAGCTCTTTTGAGATTCACTGTAAGTGTTCCGCTACCATAAAGAAGAATTAGAGGCACTGTGTCATGCTCCACTGCGATCGCACTTTTCAAATCTCCAGATTTCCCCGATACTCATCCACTGAACTCACACTCTTAAGCCGTACCTCTGTAATCCGCACAAGGAAGTCACCATCTTTCTGCAACAGATACAGCACATCTTCCCTTGATAATAGTCCGTGATAATAACCTTGTTCCACTAGTTTTACATCGAACTGAAAGCAGAAACGTCATTTGCATTGAATGCTAGGGCCATACCCACCCGAAGGGATCACATGCACGAATCTTGCAACGTACATTTAAGCAGGGCGGGATCTCCTCAATGGCTGTGAGGGCGGAGTCATGTAGGTAGCGCCATTAAAATGAACACCTTACCGCTCACTTCCCCTTTTATCCATAGATTTTATCACAGTGACCTATGCGCTGAAGGAAAACAAGTTTTCACAAAACATCAACAAGCGCTGCCGGTGATGAAACAACTAATGGAGCGTTCATAGTTGGTCCTGCGCGCAATTATTCCATGATTCAAAAAGGAAAGTATAGGTATCGACAAGGCGATTGGGAGAGAGGGCGAGTAGGCGATGAGAGAAGGGTACGTATTGATTTGTTTCTCCGCCTCGCGTACTCCCTAATCGCACGTACGATCGCCAACTCTGAACACTCCATAACACTTCTTAGTATGGGGTTGTGCAGAAAGTTTTGCGACACTTTGAACAATTTTCTTCAAAAGAAGAAGCGATTACGAATTAAAATATATTAAAAAAAAAGGGAGCGTTCGTAGAAGTACATAGTATGCACTCACATAAAGAAAAATTGGCTTGGTTGCCAAGGAGCAGATTGTGGCGCTTTGTACGACGAAACAGGGCTGGTGCTGGAAAGCGCTTTCGCACAAAAGCGTCAGCCCATTAGTTCACTTGGAGATCTTGGACGAGCTGAGTTGCAAGCAGCAGCACAACTGGAGCAACGCGACTACTAACCATAAGGCACGATTGGCATGGTGGCACCGAATGCGTTGCGGTAAACTCGTCCATACCTCCGTGGTCTTATGGTTAGCCGCTGCCCATATTTTGCCTTTTTGACGACTTTTTATTTTTTCTCTGCTTTTCTCACCATTGATGTACGCTTCAGCACTCCAACGCCCCTTTGAACCTCCTTCAGAACCTTCCGTAATCACTGCTTCTGAGAAAAAAATATCAAAATCCTTTTCAATCGTTTTTATAATTTGATTGGTGTAGTGTATCTTCGGAAGTTCTAGTAGAGAAGCACAAGGAGGCTTCGTGCAACGTTCTGCTGCTTCGAACCCCTCATAAAAGAAGTCATCTTTTGACCTGTTGCATACTACAAGTTCTACAAAGGCCACTCTGTTTAAGCATCGTTTGTGAAGTCGGGTTCTGTGAATAGTGGCCCTCTTGCTTCAGAAACCAGAAGACTACCACCACAACGGTGAACGTTCACTTGAAAGAATCCTTGCTTTGGTTTGCCTAGTTTTTCAATTGGGGAACTTGATTTGCCATAAAGTCCTTCTATTTAGATTTACTGCCCTTCCCCATGGTGAGCCTTCAATCCCTAACAATAGGTTCGCCGTCCTGACCATAAGCCATCAAAGCGCCTCCACCAAGCAAGGTGGTGTGAAGTAGGTGACTTACTGTGACCATGTGGGAATGAGTCGCACACAACCTAAAAGTATTTTCTCTTTTCCAGAAATTCTTCTGAAGGGGCGAGGAGGAATGCGGGGGGGAGGGGCGCATTTGATGTTTTGGGATTGGTCATTTTTAAATCGGCTTACGAGATGGAGCGGTTTACAGTTCGTCCCGGAAAAATACTGGAGTGATTAATGATGAAAGAATTTACTGTATCAGAAGTTGTATGTATTCCGACACACCTCTACAGCTGTAGTTCCGGCGGATTTGAAGGTGGAGTTGTCAACGGTACCACTGCCCCAAAGTTTTGTGCCACGTTCAAACTTTTTCCAAACATTACCTTACTAAAAAGCATCCATCATCAAAATATGGACCATCCGTATCACGGAATTGTTACCAATCGAAGTCCTACCCCCAGAAGGTTGGCAATTTCAAGCTAAAAAACGCAGCAAGGTCAATTTCTTCCTTGAATTCGTATTTGTTATCTGTGAGGTAGTTCCTTATCAAGAATTAGATGGTCTTGGAAGGATGCTGATTGCCGCTGCATAGTGGATCTGGTAGGACTTCTCAACTGCGCTTCCGAGTCTAGAGCCATGTCATTTTACTTTTTGGTTGTACGGAGGGAGTAGACATACTTATTGAATTTTGGACGTATTAGTGGCAGTTTTCATGATCAGCTTTAGGCGTTTACCACGAGGCCTGTCCTGGTTACAATAGCGATCAGCCACTGGGAGAAGTTCCAAGTGGCTGATGGCTTTTCGATTGGCCTTCCATACGTGGACCAAAACGCTTTGCTGAACTTGATGGTTTTTCAACCCCTTCTGATCCATCTGGCCGATTGTTTGCTTCGCAGTAGGCAGCACAGAACATGCAGCGTCTCCATCAAGCAGAAGCGGCGTTGTTCAACCATAGCCATAGGATAGGAGATGCTGACTGAAGTCGTGATGCACTCTGTGGTTATTGGTCAATTCATCAGAATTTCTTTGTCCAAGCCTCTACAATTTTCCAAAGGAGGGCAGACTCATCAACAGTATACCCGAAATGTGTGAGTATCGCACAGCAAAATAACTCGTGCGGATTGCCTTCAGTGGAAGAGCATAGGCAGATCCTGGCCACCGATCGCCCTCTTGGCGGTCAGGTTTTTTCTAGGCCTATAAACTCCGGAACGAGGCAGGTTTCACCATCTGTCAACCCATAGTGAACGACGTTGAAGTGATGTATCGCAGAGCAAATGTTACTCCTGCCTTTGACCGGTTTGTGACTCAGTCGAAGTTCATAAAGCGTGAAAAATATGGGGGCTCTCTTTTTTTTTGAATTTGAATTCGAAGAAAGCAGCTAAGGGTGGCATGGTTCTGATATACGTCACTTCGCGAATATTCAGAAATCGCTAAATGAACTTCTGACATGAGGTGCAAACAAATGATGCGAATTTACAACCTAATAGATGGTTAGAATTAAGAATGCGCTGTCAAATTTTTTGAACCTCAAATTAACTCAAACTTGAACGTCTGATAAGCGGTGCGTAAAACGATCCACGTGCTGTAGTTGGCAAGTCCATGGTTGACCTCCTTTCACGCCGTGAGCGAAGATCATGACATTCTTATCAGGAATCGCCAAGTATTGCCAAGAAGCGGGCGTTCATTAAGGCAATGGGCCATAAGGTGCGGCAGCAGTAGTGGCAGCGTGTTATTCTGTTTATGAAGCGTTCAGAGTTGGCGATCGTACGTGCGATTAGGCGATTAATCTGTAATGGAAATATACGTATAGATTAGGCGATGTGGCGAGTAAGCGAAAAGGCGATAGGCGCGAAGACTAATTGTGTATTGATTGGCTCGCTCCGTCCATAGCATTGTAGGCGAGTAGGCGAGTAGGCGATTGGGCGATCGCTCCATGAACGTAGCAACAAATCAATACGCATCCTTCCCTTAACACACACTCGGCTACTCATCTACTCGCCTAATCGTCACATATACATTTCTTTTTGAGTCATCACCTAACAGCCCATCGCACGTGCAATCGCTAACTATAAACGCTCCAGAACGTAGCACAGAAGGAATGAAGGTGGTGCGTGATGGTTGTGAAAATGATGTTTATCAGTCTGATATGAAGAGACTCAAACGAATATAAACAACCGACTCTGCTCATTCGCTCAGTTTGCACAAAATGTCTGGTTTCAGGCGGTCGGGATTCAAGAAGGTACGTGGATTCTACTCTATGCCAGGACTACTACACAAGAACGACCCTGGAGTCCTGCCCATGTAACTCTTAGCGGAATGTTGGGGTATGTTCGATCATAGCTCTCAGGCAGAGCCCCTTCTGGTGGATTCTCTAGTCGACAAGTCAGTGAGCAGCTAGCCAATGTTTTTGAAGCCACCACGGCCGAACGTTATCCCTACTGTAAGTACAGCTAACAAAGAGATCTATTGTAAATGGCACAACCACCCAGGTGCGTCTCCTGATGAGGGGTTGCCACGTTCGACTTCCATGATGGACCTTTAGGGGTGAGGGACCCCCTAGTCATAACATTTGCCCCTCCCAAAGCAGATACGCCGAAGAAGAGATGAAGTGGCACAGCAAACATAATACATCATCAAGAAGTTGTGCAATACAGCGTTCATCTTAAAAAAAACGCGAATCTTCGGAAAGTCTGCAACAAATCACAACACCAGTTTTTTGACGTAGGTCAGGAAGCCTGTGGAGTGTTCAGAGCTGGCGATCGTACGTGCGATTAGGCGATCGCTCAATGGGCGGAGCAACAAATCAATACTTATCCTTCTTTCATCGCCTACTCGCCTATCGCCTAATCGCCTATCGATACGTATTCTTTTCTTTTTGAATCATCGCCTAATCGCACGTACGATCGCCAACTATGAACGCTCTATTACATGACTCCGCCGTGTCGAGGACAGCGTACGGCCGATGTCAGACTTTGCGAATCGAGCGATTCCCTACTGGCAATTCGCTAGCGTCCGCGATCGTGTCACGGCCAGTGCGTCGCTCGATTCGCTGGTACCGCAACGCGACCAGACGCTAGCGAACCGAACAAATCGCTCGATTCGCAAAGTCTGACATCGGCCTACGTAACAGGTTGCGCGCGCCACTTACGCGCTACATGGCGCGGTGGTGGTGAGCACGCCAACATGCACGCAGGATCTTTGTTTCCGCGCGCATAGTAGCGTTATCAATTGCACGTGTTGAGTGCAGTGTACCCACGTTGCGACGCTACTGCGCGCAAC